TTTGTAGAAGTGGATGTACGAGCTCGCGTCGGACGCATCGCATTGCGGCTTCGATTCGGTCCGACTGTCGGTGTTCAGATGGTCCGACACCAAGGACATGGACGTCTATGAACGAAAGTTGCTGAACGTCAAAGGCAAGGATTTAGAGTAAGTGGACCCTCATTTGTTAGCGTATGAGGGACTAATCAATGATTCAGGAAAGTTTGAATTGTGGGAGAAAAAGTATCAAATAAAATTATAATGACATTGAGTTAAAAATTCATTAATAAATACAAGTTTCTGCGAATTTCGGCTGTTTTAACAGAGTGGCGTCAGCGCTCGAGCACGGCAGAAACTCAAAAAGTCTGCAAACTTTAGGATAAACACAACACTATCTGAAATCATTAACCATTACCGAAGAAATGAATGATAGTGATGTGGTATCATGGGGTACCACGTCGTCCCAGGCGGGCAGCAAGCGTGTTACCCTATGGTATCACGTTGTCGCTAATGTGTTAAATGGTCGCAATGCATTCACACATCTTACATCGTTTATTCTTCTCGCTCGCGGTAATCCCGCGCAGTCGCAGGGTCCGCTGTTTTGTCAGTCGTCGCCATTTGCTCTGTCCAGGGCATCTTCTGCCGTGACCTCACTTAGGTCCTTCTTGATTACGTCCTTCCACCTCTTCTTTGGGGCTCCTCGCGGTCGCTTGCCTTGCGCTTCGAAGTCCATTGCTGTTCTTATCGGATGATCCTGTGGCCTCCTTAGCACATGCCCATACCATCGCAGACGCTGTTCCCGTACCTTCAGCTGGACAGGGGCAGTCTGCATGACCGCTCTGACATCCTCGTTTCTGACCCTGTCCAGTCGCGTCCAGCCGCAGGCCCATCTCAGCATCCTCATCTCAGCGGAGTGAAGCTGCCTTTCGTGATTCTTGTTCAGGGGCCAGCACTCGCTGCCGTAGAGCATCGCAGGCCTTACCACTGTCCGGTACACCTTTCCTTTGAGCGTTCTGGAGCACCTTCGATCGCAGAGGATTCCAGTGGACTCCCTCCATTTCATCCATGCAGCGTTGACCCGAGCCTTCACCGCCTGATCCACACTACCGTCAAGATCGCCCCCAAGGTATCGAGTCCTCCTCCACTCTTTCATGCGTTTCCATAGCTGTCCACAGCGACAGTACCCTCTACACTCACTAAATTAATCTCTTAACATCACGCACCCCTCCTCCGCCAGTCCCCTGCCATTTGCATCTCTCAGATTCTTCTCTACGTCGCCTATCAGGATAGCGGTATATAGCCATGGTCCTTCGATAGCTCTCCTCATGGTCTCTGGAGCCCCTTCTGCCATTGCATCTAGTGTCAGGAGGGAGACGAACGGGCTCAGAGCTGATCTTTCGTGCACTCCATCTGTGAAGTCTACCGCCTTTGTTAGGCGGTATGGCTGCCTTAACCCCATCGTACATATTTTTCACCGGACAGATCAGGTGTTCTGGCACGTTCCATTCCCTGGGCGCCTCCAGAGTACTGCTCGAGGTAGCCGGTCGAACGCCTTCTCCAGGTCGAGGAAGGCTAGGTAGCAGGGACGGGCTTTTCTCTCCATTCTCATTTCATGATGCAATCTCCATCGCTTGCCTGGCGATGAAGATTGCATCCGTCGTGGACCTTCTTATCAGACATGAACCCGAACGAACATCTGACATCGTCTGTACTCGTCAAACTTGCGGTCAGCTTTGACGCGCTATTCTGAAAAGCGAGATGCTACATCTACAGTGAGGGCGGCATGGCGTCAGCCAGAACCCACTTTGTAGGGAGCAGCCGTCTGCAAGCGTGTCCACTTCCATGCAGTCTGGCCGAACTTCAGAACTACATCTTTTTGTATGGAGCTGATGTCCTGAAGCAATGTGCTACAGTTATCAGTAAAAATCAAGTGTAATGTTACAGAGGCGCGATTTGTGCGAGCACAATCTGTCGTGATGGCCTCGCATGTGAGTGCCTACTGCCTCGTGGAGTCGGGAAGCTGCGAGCCGGAGTTCAGCCAGAGATGACCGTCTCAGTACCCATGCAACCAGGAGTACGTTTTTTTCCTTTTTTGTTACCCTTGCTATTTTTTACCAAAAGAGTTTTTTCCAGGGTTTCGTGGAAACCACTCCGGTGCAAAACGAAGCTGCCAGCTGCCCAAAATCAGATCACCAAGCTGAAGGGCGGCTACAATTGGTGACAGATGAGGTTGATTATTCACTTCGAACGAATTTTTTGCCGCTGAAATACCCTATTTTTGATAACTGGGATTCATTTCAGAATGCGGTGTTCGGAAACATCACCAAGTTTCTATCGGTGGAGATGTACTCGGGTGGCCACGTTTACGCTCTGGTAAGCCACCTTTTTTAAAGTTCACGCGTACTCATCGTTGATTTTTGTAT